TGAAAAACAAACAAATATTCATAAAAAATGTTGTATCAAGGCAGAGAGATCAGATTTGCATGTCATTGACGAATTTAATTCTTTTCACGCTATACCGTTTAAAAAAATCACTGTACCGTAATGCTTGGAAAGGGACACGGGCAATATATTCAAGAAAAAAATCAACCAGAGAACTGGAATAATATCAGCAGCGATAGACAAATGCAAATAAACAATCATCAGTGAAAAATGTCGGTGTAATGCATTGTGCATACAGTTTATGTTTGTGCAGAATGTAAAACTTTCATCTATCACAGAAGTGTGAAAGAGAGCAATGCAGAAAGTCGCTGTTGAGACGCACACTTCCACAATAAAAACATCGACAAGATTTATATGTACGGTTTTTATCGAAAGATGATAGAATCATTCGGAACAAAAACACTGTGGCTCGACTGTCTGATTACATTGAAGCCCAGTGAGTCTTTGATTTTGGTTGTTTTGTGTCTGTATGTCGTTTGCTTTGAGTATGTTTTTGAAGCGTTCCGAGTCGCGTGGTCTCAATCGCTCTCGGTTACCTCTTAATCGCTTTTGATTTGCATGGTCGGATGATTCAGCATAAATTCAGCGTTATGCTTTTTTAAGTATGGTTTTCTACACACTTAGTTTTTTTTTTTCATCCAACACGTTTTTAACTCGATTGAAGTACGTGGCACTGTTTGCTAGTAGCTCGACGGCGATCATTTGCGATTGCTGATTCATTATGCATTTTCCCCATTATACGGGATTTTTCTCTTTTTGTGTTGTTTTGTATTCGGTCTTATTGTTTTAGCTGGTGCGAAATGATTTTCTTTCTCTTCGCCACTCACTGGCTGAAGTGATTGTGTGTTTTATCCTCTTACAACCTTTTCGTTTATGCTTGCTGCTGTTGCTGCCATTTAGGGCTTTATTCTCATCTGTATTTTGCAGTTCCCGTTTTATCCTCTTAAAATTTCATCTTGTTTTGTTTTTGTTTTTTTTTTTTCAATCATGCTTGTTGCTGTCGTTTCTCAACACAATCCATTTTCAAGTTAACGACCAAACAAAATCAGTCTGATTCTATATGTGTTTGTATAAGTGTGTATGTTTTAAAATCACAGCCATACGGTTCATAAACCATTTTGTTTTCATTCGAAACACATGCCCCGATTCTTTCTGTCATTCTACTTGATACCGTCTTGTAATTTCATTTCCAAACAATCAACGACACATATAAGCACCATTCCATCCCTGATGCACTGCCATGGATTTAATTCGATTTTCACTTTTCGAAAGCATTCACGATGCGTGTACATATATGCACGGAATTTTCGAGTGAGCTCATGTCTCGAGATTAGTGTTTGCATTTACTACATTTACGGAAAGTTTTTGAAAGTACTCAGTTGCCGGAGAGTAAGATGATTCACGTTCGAAATGGATAAGACATGATAAATTCAATGGACTGTACAATGTATACGGCATTTTGAGAATGTTTTTCTTCTTGAAATTTTTGAATAAAGGTAGCTGACTCATTATAAATCTGATTATTGAACGAAAGGGAAACTGAAAAATTCATCATTTTTCACCATTAAAAATTATGTGAGAAAACAAGTTGATGATTCGTTGATGTATTATTCTTGTTAATTCTTCTCAAGAAAAAAGTCTTTGTAGAATAAAAAACAAACGCCTCGAAAAATAGCTGCAAAATATTTTCTGGAAAAATTAAAAATATTTGCGACAGAATTTCGATCTAAACAATAAATATTTGAAAAGTCAAGCAAATGCAGTATGTATAGTAAATGTATGATTGAAAAGTGAAATGTTCTAATAAATAATTGTCATTTAATTAAAATATATTTGCTTGAATAGTAAAAAATAGTATGAAAAGGCACAAAAATACCATAAATTGGTGAGAAAAAAATTATTTAAAATGTATTTAATTGACCGTGCAATTGACAAACTGACAACTGTCGGCAGTCAACTGCTAGTATGTGTATTTTGGTAAAAACTATGACAAAATGTGTTGATTTTTCCAGTTAAAATTGGTGACGGTGAAAAATTTGGTGTGTGCACTTTTTGCCAATATTACTAAAGCTATGCATGTGGAAGTGCGTTTTTGTGCGCGTATGTGTAAAAATGTCCTACATGCCATCAGTGTTGACAAGCATTTTGAATAATCAATATACTATATGTAGCAGATTATATTCGCTTCATTGTCATCAACAGCGAATTTTGACAGAATTATCTACCTTTCGTTAGGTCAATTCTGTTGTTTTTCTTCATTTTTCTATCCAAATAAAGCCTTTGACATCTTTTATTTATATCTTTTGATTTCATGTTCTTATTTTTCCTTCTAGTGTAAAGTTATATTACGTTCACAGCAAGCTGTGACACTTACTGAGTTTTGTGCCCATTGGCCACCTGTTAAGTTTGTTTTTTGTATTATATAAATTAACAGCAAAAGTTAATTCATTGCGTAACAGTTGTTTTTCAATGCGATTTAACAAAAACTAACATCCGTGTAGAAAGCAAAAAAAAAAAGGTTGGACTCAGTGACATTAATCAATTAATTTATTTTGTTACTGGATTATTTATATTTTGAATAATCTATGCACAAAAACTTCCCAAAAGTCAATAGTTTTTTTTTTTTGCATTTTTTAAATGTCAGTTAAATTTTTCATAAAACATTGAACAAAAGCGTTATTACAAAGACGTGAGTTGCAGATGTTATTACCATGTTGACAGCAACCAAACTCAATGAATCGTTCATACTAATTGGGGTTACCGGAACGTACATTTAACGCATATTGTAATATTCAACAACGGAACAGGAAGCATGATTTTTCGCTTGATCGAAATGTTAGTTCGATTTTTCATTGATCATTATGCAAGGCAGTAAAAAAGACTCCCATTTTAATTTAAACAAAATATTTTAAATTTAAAGTAATAAAATATCAACGTTATGATGATTGACAATGGTAATATTCATCCCTTTCGATTGAATTAACACAGGGTGATATAAACTTCTCTCTTATTTACTTTCATAAGTTGTTCATTTGTTTTTTGGTCATTATTCATAACTAAAAATCAATTTGCATAAATAAATAACCTCTTTGCATATTGAATATTTGTTATTCAAATCATACAAAACAAAAGAAAGAAAAAAAACCAACTTTTATTTGGTTTTATCTAACTTATTTTTTATCTGATGTTTATAATTCATACTACAAATGTTTATTATTTTATGTTTGTTTGGCTTTAGTTAATATTACTACTACTATATGAATGCAAAATGTGATTGATCCATTATTTCCATTTAAAAAGTCATTTTGGTCAAATATAATAATTCATCAATTTATTATTATATATTCTTTAAAACGTGTCTTGTGACAATTGGTACACGTAGATAAAAATGAGTCAGCTTGACGTATACACATGTATGCATAATTGATGATGAGACACGTACAAAATTTCTTATGTAACATCATTCATTGTTAGTCTTACACTTACATTTAATTTACTGTCCTGATGACAATATCCATCCAACTTGACAGAATTCTCGTAAACTTTGTCCATTTATTCCAGACAAATAATCTGGATCGAGAAAATGTACGTCATTTGTAGAAGCAACAGCAGAACTAGATTCAATTATGCGGTACAATATGTAAATGTATGCTATCAAATGAATAGCAAAATAACTGCACTTGGGGCCAATATCATTCTATGCAAATTATCGCTTTTCATAAAATATTCAGACGTATTCAATAAAAGCTGAATATCAACTACTAAATTTAAAATGATATTGACAAATGCAATATATGTAGTTGTTACTGTTGAATTTTGGAATGAAAAATGAAAATAATGGCATATGGAGTGCATGCAGGTTGTAGCTGTAGCTAAAGAATGAGTACTTAAATATTTAGTTTGAACGTTAGAATTGAGTCCTCTAACCGCAACAAAATGTTCGACGCGTATATTTCAATATCGATCTTTCCCGAGTGTATGTGTTTTGGATTTGCTTGAATCTTTAACACCCATTATTCTGAAAATGTGAGCATTTACAATTCAATGGGTCAACGTACTTGCGCATAATACCTCACGGCATAATAGCTGCATTATCCAATTTATCAACGATAAATTGCATGTCTTCTATCTGCCCGCTGTCCATTTATTATTATTGTTATTATTATATTTAGGTTTATTTATCATTCGTATCAAATATGGTTAAGTTACATAATACGGGTTTTAACAATATATCCACAGAAAGAAAATATCAGCTGACGCTATACGCAAAACCGACTGGTACGTGCGCTTATACGTTTTTACATCTTTTACATCTATTACCATACGATTTTTCGACTGTGCGAAGATACGCACAAAGAGTAACGAATCAGTCGAAAAATCGTATGGTCACTAGATGTAAAAGATGTAAAAACGTATGAGCGCACGTACCAGTCGGTTTTGCGTATAGCGTCGGCTGATATTTTCTTACTGTGTCGGAAATATGTAAAATGCTGTATTCTAAAGGCCAATTATCTTATGGCCTCGTCAAGATGGTGATTGAAATGTTTGAATGTGACACATAAATGAATAGGTCAGTTGACTGGATTTATAAGATACGAAGAAATACGCTGTAGAAAATTTTGAATTGTGCAAACTGCAGACGGAAGATATGTCATATTTTATCAATCACTCCACTTTGGAAAGACATTTTTTAATTTTATATGATAATATTCTTTTAGAAAACTTTATTTTAAAAATAAGAATAATGATTGAGAGCGTAGGCTATAGTCGTCCTGACTCGTAACCGACATATATAAATGGAAAACTCGACCATGAATATATCATCCTAGTGGTGATTGTCAAAGTAGTATTAACACATCAATTATCTGCGATTTCAATTGACATTGACAACATTCCTATATATAATTTTAGAAACAGTACTTTCAACGTAATCAACAAATTATCACCACCATGCATTAATCTCGTTTTATTTCCCTTTTCAGTTTGAACGGATAATAACAGGAACAAAAGTATAACCAAAGCAAAAGTTTGTGTGTGGAGAACCACATCAATCTCCCGAAACTCCCTCCGAAAACCAAAATGACGTTAATAGTCAAGCGACATATTGCATTGATGCTGGTGATAATGTGTGTCGTGTGTACAATTGAAAGCACACACGATCGCAATCAAAGTACCCGAAGACGTGACAGGCCAACAGTCACTACGACAAATAATTTGTGCGAAAAAGGCGCTGATATGAAATTGATGTGCCATTGCAACCAAGACCATTATAATAAAAAAATCAACGACGTCGATTGCTTATTATTGCATGAAGATATTGCACAATCGGATTCATCTTGGTATGTATAAATGAAAAAACCGTTTTTCTTCTCTCTATATATTAATCTATGGAAAATCAAAGTGCAATTAGTTGGCATCTGAACGCAACATATAAATTTTCTTTTCATTCAACAGGTATGCCTTTAACAGTCATCCCCATATAAAGCATATTCAGTTGACAGTTACGAAACATGGCTACTTGGGCTATCTTCCCATTGATGTTTTTCGAAGACAACGCGACTTACAAACGCTAAACATTCAGTATGGAAATATTCGTGAGATCCCGTCCAATGCATTCAGCAATTTAACGCGAATACATAATATTACATTGAAACACAACCAGATCGAAGTATTGAACGCATTTTCATTTGCCAACCATCCGGAACTCATCGAACTTAATCTACAATTAAATGAAATTATCAACATTAATCGATTGGCCTTTGTCAATTTACCCAAATTAGATGAATTAGTTTTAAGCAACAACAATATTTCAACATTGCCAAACGACGCATTCGTCAATATTACCAATCTTAATAAATTGAGATTGAATGATAATTTATTGCTGGTATTAACACGTGACGTATTCAAAGGATTGGGAAAATTACAACAACTTGACTTGAGCGTAAATAATTTAAAAAGTCTGAGTGATGGCGTATTTGCGGAATTATGGAGTCTACAGGAACTTTATTTGGAAAATAACAGTCTTGAAGTAAGTGAGCAAGTTTGTAAACTGTCAACATTTTATTGTAAATCATAGATATTTTGGTACAAAGTTCAATTGACATCGATTATTTTGTTTGGAAGCGTCTGCATAATTTTATCAAGTAATTACTACTGATTGAATCTATTATTTCGACTTATTACTTGGGGTATTTGAATGGTATTCGTTATTTTTTTCATTATCAATTAATTTTTGGAAATGTTCATTAATGTCCGATAGAAATGGAACTTGGCTCATTAAAAATAATTGGGTAATTATTTATGCTGTCATTTGAATGCGAATCAAATACAAACGTATTTAGTTCAAATAAAATGATCAAGTTGAAGAGTGAAAATGTGATTTTGTTAGTTTGGAAATAGTTTGATGTCTGTTGGCTCTTCGCACAAATGGGTTCCTGACATTAATTTACATTTAACTAACAAGATACAAAGTCGCTAATGAATTAAAATCAACTTGTAAGTTCACTCTATTTGCTTATCAGTCAGATGCATAGTGTAGAGAATCGTTCTAGAAAGAATTTTCATCATAGTTTTTATAAATAGTCATTTGCATTTCCAGTTTTGTATCATCGAGAGCTTTCCATTTATGTAAAATAACGAACAAAAATAAACATTTTACTGAATGAAAAGCCAATGGTAATTTTACGTCCGTATTTATTTAGGTATTTTTGGTCCCTTTGAGTTAGTTTTTTATGTGGTTTTGGTTTTCATTCGACGCGATTTTCAATCATTTATCAATGTCTATGTATTTTCACTTATGTTATTTATGTTTTTTTTTCATATCTCTGCTTCATATAAAACAGCGCATTTCCGAACGAGCTTTCGATGGTTTGAATAATTTACGCATTCTCAATTTGCAAAATAACAAAATCACTATGTTGGAGAATGGAGTATTTAGCACGGTACCAGCAGTGACTACATTGAATTTGAATAATAATCTGTTAGAATGGTTAACCTACACAACTATTCTGCCAATCATGGATAATTTGGTCAACAATACAGCCAGCGTTTTGTCGATTTCGGGTAAGTGTTGTTTTTTGTTTTAAATTGGCCAGTCAAAATTGATAACATGTGTATAAGTTATTTTCGTCCATTCATTTGCATTATTATGTCGATATTGAATCACGCATTTAATTGAAAACATTGAACCATAGAAAATTCCCGTCTATACGTATTTGAATTCTATAATTATTATTTTTTTATTGTATAAACTCATTTCAATAAATTATTATGAATGATTAGCAATGTACAATGGGTGATCGATCTAAGTTTGGAATGCAAATTAATTTCCTTCATTGATCCACATCACATCGTGGTGTGGCATAAATGGAGCGTAAGCATTTAATCAGTATAATTTCAAATGTTTTCAATTTTCAAATAAAAATTAAATTTAGCATTAAATGTACAAGTTTTGATAACGAAGATATATTGTTCTATAATTAATCATTGAAAATTTAATGTGGCTAAGTTGTATGGATTGTGTCAACAAACTGGCGGAATTAGTTCACGTGCGCGCAAATTCCAACGAAAACCAAACCAAAACTCAATTTGCCATCTAAATTTGACAGCGTTTTCTCGCTAACATTATCATTAGCCAAAGTAAATTAGTATAATTGAATGACCATTTTTCCTCACGCTGTGTGACACATATCCAATATACGAGTGCGCAAAAACTATGGCTAAATGAATTAATTCTGAAAAATGTTGTTCGCTCTAAAATTAAATAAAGATCGAATAAAAATATTACGTGCAAATTGAATTAGCTGTAATTTTGTGTAAAATTGAACCGCGATGACAAGTGTCTGTGCCCAATATCTGCAGTGCTAATTTTCCTCAGTAAAGTGGTTTGAATTGAGGGAAAATTAAATTAATATCATTTAATTATACATTTCTACTGAAACACAAATTGAATATTCTGTTTGTAATGCGATTATGATGTCTGGGTGTAGTTTCCGATATATTGGCGACAGATAACTACATGTATTTGCTTGTCATCACTTTAAAAAGATGTTTCTCTCTTGGCCAAATCAGCTCTCATGACATGCAAGCAATGCTGTTTCTGATGCGTTTGCTAAATAATGAATTTTTAATCCATTTTTATTCTGTTCCTACATGTGACACGCACAATTAAACAATTTAAAATCAATAATTATGAAAATGTTCTATGAGTGTATGTGTGCTTGGCATATTATTGTTATTATTATTTCATGAAGCATTGTCACATATGGACTAAATAATTTGATTGTGCCAAATACAGCTGCATACACTTCTACCTCATGCATTATCATAGTTTTGACCGCACACGCGTAATTGTTTGTGCAAAATTCTAATTTGATGGCATATATTGTTTCCACATTGACTTCATTGATGTGCGAGAAAGAAAATAGAGGACAAATAAATATTCAGTGCGGTCGCAAAACTGAAACATCATCAAACTAACAAAACTCATTTGTATCGCCAACATTGGTAAACATTTATTCTCATTTGAATAAGTTTTTTTTGTGTGTCAAAATTAAGCGTTTCGATTCAAATATTCAACGAAAACGACCGACAGTTTTGAAAACAAAGACCACCATTGTTGTTTTTCCATCCTGCTGGATGTGTTTTGTTGTCCATGGGCAAATATTTTGTTTCGTTAATTGTTTGTGTCGCATGAAACATTTTGAAATTTTTATGATTTGTACTAGATGTGGCAATTTGTTTACGCACAAATGCATCCAATTTGCGAAACACATATTTTCTAAATCCATTTCATTATACCTATGATTGTATATTCATATGCTGGTAACAGCTTAACGAATCTGTTGGTTTAATCCAACTGTGTCGAATCGATGTTTACATAATTGAATGCTAGCTAGCACATTCCTGTAATGCCTCATTTGAATTACATTTCATTTATTTTAAATTATTGTGGCACAACATTTCAAATTGATTTCATTTTTGTTTCCTTTGCGTTTCGAACACAAATTCGTTTTTCAATTTTACTCAAAATACTACTCCATAGTTGATTTTGTGCCGATTTAAAACATTCTTCTCGAAAGTTTTAATTTTCACTTATGCGACAAGTTTTTTTAAAGGAAGACGGTGACAAAAAGAAAAGTGCTGGTGTAACTTCTTTTTGCAATTGAGCCTTATAGTAATTAGTTGCACCATGCATATAATTATAAAGTTGGTCGACGTGTTTTTATACCAAACAAAAACTTTGCAACTAGTTGAACTTTAACGCATTTTCAAGCGGAAACTCTGTCATCAAAATATACTATTAGTTACTAGTTACGGAAATGCACCAATATTACACGCATACAAACCATACTTCTTAATTTTCGTGCAGATGTGAGAAACTATTTTCATTTGCTCATTGATATAGTTTTCATCGCTTTGACTGTTTGCCATGTGTGTCATAACTCTTCATAAAATTGATTCAAGCGATCTTTTTCATATTATTTCCATATATTTATTGCGTGGGAAGTGAAAATAGAATTTAGCACATGGAAAATTTCAAGTGTATAAATTAAGAAAATGTTTGTCGTCACATACACACACAAAATCATTGCTACAAAAGCAAATGAGGATGTGAAAAAACTAAACAGAAGAAAGCTCATAAAATACAGAATTTACACACCGCGCAAGTACCAAACAGAAATTGTGGTGCTTATGATTGCTTTATGCTTGTGCAAGCATGTGACTTGCTGTTTTATTAATCAAATAATTGTTATTATTTCATTTGTTTGGAATTTTCTTTCGCATTTGGGAACTTAATTTCATTTCCATTTGCAATGCCAGCGCAACGATATCGCTCCAAAACAAATAATTAGAGGTGTCATACGCATACGTACATGTGTTCGAATACCAAAGGCAATATCACACCCGAAAACGATAATTTGTGATATTGTTGAGCCGAACAAATTAGATATATGCCCGTATTTCAGTGCTGATTGCTGCACATATATAGTACATACCCCATATATTCTTTAAGTTGTTAAACAAATAATAAACGTCCCAAACTTATTCCTTTTTATGTTGAAATGCTTAAGACAAATATTATATATTATGTTAGTATACATGTGTCTTGCATGCTTACCACACACATATATCAAGTGCACGTATATGGAAAAAGTTCGTGAGTGTCTGTGTGTGCTACCTTTAAATTATAATATTAAATCAGGGTGGAAAATGAATTCGGTGCTACCGATGGTTTTCCGTGGTAAAGAGATGAAATCGCACTAAGATTCTGTTTGTTACACGCCATATCATCATAGCGGCTTCTTCTATATTCACGAATACGGAAACCTTGTCGAAATAGTGACAATAATTTTCATTTCGTTTAAGTTTAATCAACAACAAATGACAGTCAAATGAGAGAAGAAAAAACCATAAAAGCTTACCCGCAGCGCACGACATACACACAAAACCACGACACATTGATTCGATTTACCCAAAGATAACGCAATTTTATACAAAATATAACATTTCGTTTATGTGATAGTGGCAATACAAACACAAAACCGAGCTGACACATTTGAATCATCGTTCGCATTTACACGTGGTTTCAGTAGCACATTGTTGATGAAATTACGACAAAAAACGTCTACGTGACGTTACTGATGGTGGATGTGGTGATAGAAAATAAAAGGGAAACGCGAAATAGAACCTGTGTTTTTGAAACCAATGGACCATTGGCAATGGTTATAGATGATGATCAAAAATTCGATTGGACACTTTGGTTGTATATTTCGAATCGTATCAGTATCAAATAAGTTTCAAATTTGATTGTCAATTGATTTGACCTTGCAATATTGAAAAATTTATTAGGCATTCAACTATAGTTAATTTGAATCAATAAACTGTTTCGACATTTCAACAAGTTTAACAAGTTTTGAGCACATTTACATTCTATTTACACTTTTATAAAGTCTTACATTGAAAAACCACTTGATTCGGTATGGGTTTTCGTATGTTTAGATTCGTTACGCAATTCCATTAATTACAACAATTTAATTAAAATAACTGGAAGGAAGGACTTGAATGCAGTCGTAACCAGTACCTTGTAATGAGGTTTACATCTACTTTATAGTTCCGCTTTCTTTGGACTACAAAATCTACTTATCAGAAGATACTTGAGTTTCTGCTTGTCAAATACAAAAAATACTGTCTTACTGGAAAAAGTGTTTTCTATTCTTAAATAGATGTGGAAACTTGAAGAGACTTTAGTTTTTCAATGAAAACGAAGTAGAATTGATTGAAAATGCAACAATGCAAGTGGTTATGAATTACTTATTATTATTATTCTTGCTTTCCGTCCATCAGTCGAGCATTGTTTACTTTTAATCTAAGTTTCATTGTTCCTTTTGATATTAAATACGAAACAACTGAGACGCTTGTTGAAAACTATATTGAAGCTCAAAATAAAATGAATTTCTAGTTGTGAAAAAGAACTCACAAAATGTCTCATTTTCAAAAGCATCTAAAGATTTTGCACGTTATTGACGAAGCGAATGAGAATAAAATAAAATTTGAGCGCGAAAAATAATTTCACTAGAAAGTGCTCAAAGGCAAACTCAACGGTGAACCACGAACACCGGAGAGGCGAATATCCGCATTGGTACATCGGTGCAAGTCATCTTCTTTATCATTCCTATTTGAAGACACGTAGTTATAGATTCCATAGTTACTCTCAAATATTTTATTCACAATTCTCGTTTTGTATGGTGCCATTTCTATATGCCAAAATTTACCATCGCATTTATCAAGTTTGATATGAAAACCCAAATAAATGGATGCGAGAAAAGAGCACCTTTCTTCTTTACGTTTCTTGTCACTATCATCAAGCGTTAAACTATATTAGCTGAGGATGGCTTACGCATCACTGCTATTTGTGGGAATTTCCTGTGGTCAACAATACTTTTACAACTTTGTCAAATGAATCTATTTATTCTCATGTACTCAATACAATATTTGATACTGTTACTGATATTCTTGAACCCCAAAGCACGGCAGTGACAAAAATCGACCGAAGCGCTCGCATCGGTTGCCAGATGAACTATAG